TTGAATGGTTTTATCAAAAAAATAACTTACTTTTCGATTCCGTTTTAGAAAAACAGGTAGTTGAAGTTGTTTTTTTGAATATCTCATTCAGGAAATGAGGTTATTTGCAAATTGGATACGTTTTCACAAATACTGATGTATTTCAATTTGTTTTCAATATTTCTTTCAGAAAAGTATGACTCGTAGCCATCCTCTTGCAATTTTCAACAAACTTTCCTGGAACTATTGAAACTTTCATTTGTATTTTATTCACCGTCTGCCCTTTTTTAGGCTTTACTTTACCTGTTTTTTCAAATCTTTCTTTATCCCTCTGAAATATATTTGGTCGTTTAGACAGGCAGGTAGGGATTCAAGAAAGTTGTGGAACTCAATAAACGAAATATGTTAGAAATCAATGAGACCTAGAAGTGATCTGAATATAATAAAAGTGGAAGGAAGATATATCGACAATGTAACAGAAATTGCAAATCTTATGAATGAACACTACGTCACATTGGGAAAAAAACTTGCAGAAGAAATTATTACTGATCCTGAATATATTGCCCCACAATGCAACCCGCTATTGAATCATCTCTTTCTAAGAGCAGTTAACCAAAATGAAATAAAAACAATAATTACACAACTTAAACCTATGAAGGCACCAGGAATTGATCTAATAATAGCTGAAACTGTTAAACACCTAATTGCTGCACCACTTGCTGCAGTAATCAATAAATGTATTCAACAAGGAATATTTCCCGCAGTATTTGAAGGAACAATTGTATTCTCCGTATAAAAAAATTGCGACAGAGAAGAATGTATCAATTACAGGCCTAATTCAGGACTAACAAACTTTTCAAAGGTATTTGAAAAAACTCTAAAAAAGCAATTGACTTCTTTTCTTGATGAATTTGAAATAATTTCAGGAAAACAACATGATTTCAGAAAAGGTATTTCCACCCAAGGCGCGATGTATTCAGTTCTGGACAAAAACCAGCCTGCTTTTTGCGTCTTTCTTAACTTATTTAAGGCATTCGATACGGTAAGTCATAACTTACTCATCGAATTGCTCGAAAATTCACGTATCAGAGGTGAAGCCCTAGACTTGTTTAGAAGCTTACTCTCAAATAGACCACAAAAAGTCAAATTGAAGAATATCCATAGCAAACTCGAAACAGTAACGTATGGTGTACCTCAAGGAACCGTAATACGACCAATCCTGTTGAAAAAATCCAGATGATTTATCTAAAGTCAGTCCAAAGGAGAAATAATCACGTTTGCAGATGATAAAGCAATCTTTCACTCAGCCCAAGAATAGAACACTTTGAAAGAACAGTAGAAAGAGTTCTGTATGAAATTGAATCATGGTTTTAGAATCGATTGCTGACCATATATCCTAGCAAAACATTGTTTCTTCCACTACACAAAAACGAATCCACTTTGCCGTCTTTCACAACTTTAAAAATTTCTAATGATTCTTCAATAGAATCTATATTGATAATTGACAGTCACCTCAAGTGGGATAAGCATGTCGCGTATGTGATCAAAAAACTACATTTTTTGATGTACAAATTCAAAAACCTCAGATATATTTTTAATCCCACTAATGCGTGATATACTGAAAACGGTATATCACGCATTAGTGAGATCGCATATAGGTTATGGAATAGTAGCTTGGGGGCAGCCGGAAAAATTATTATTAATAATTCAGTGATACTACAGAAAAAAATTATTGAAATTTCATTATGTAAAACAATCCGATACTCTTCAGACCTTCTATACTCTGAAACGGAAATCTCAGACCCGAGACAGCTATCTTTTTCAATTTAAATGTTGAACAGCATAAAACTAAGTTCACTCTGGTAACTAATGAACACCAGTAGGACACAAGACAGAAACACAATACTTACTTGTCTACTCCAGCTTTAAAGTGTATTGGGCAGAAGAATTTTAAAATTTTGGGCCCGAAACTCTACGAGCGCGCCTTCCGCAATATATCTCAGTAATTAATAATATCGAACAATTCAAAAATATATTGGAAGGCTGTATTAAATCGACCTCGAGGGTTGATATACATCTACAAATCGGAAACCCCTTAACGATATAGTACTTCGGTCAACAGTAAAGTCCCTTCTGATTATAAGCCCATTCCATGATATATATTTTCTGAGATATAATGCATTGTCCATGCATGTAAAAATCACTCTCTGAAACACTAGTTTTATTTTTCATTTTTACTTGAAGTGTTCGTTTCTCTCGTATTTTTCAAATTTATTTTTATACATCATTACTAGAGATATGGAATAATTCTTATGTATCATATCTACTATTTATACTTATTACCCTGCAAATTTTCAACCTAGACAGGAATTAAATTTCTTACAGGTTTCCCCACTCTGTTGTACATTATTGAGGTTAGCTTATGGTACTTCTACGTGGTAACGGTTTCGTTGGTGCAATAAATTATAACTATTTTTATATTATTATTATAGACTTGGAATGAGAATATCGAACTGCAAACATTCTTCAGACTTCAGACTATTGAACATTTTGTGTTATTTCAAACAAGAATGTAATATTCATTATCTCTCCAGCAGACAAAGCCGATACATTATATATTAAATTTGGAAATAGTCTAAGTTTACAGGAAAAAGTTTGAAAAATTAAATTATTTGGAAACATTATTCGAAGTAATTAACAAGTTACACGTTAATTCAATAGACATTATCCACATCACTATACTGACACATACTAGACATCGGCAAAACCCTTGAAAAGCAATTATTTTGGCAGCAATTCCTTGAGCCAATTTACAAAATTTGTCATCAAGATTCAATTTCTTCAAACTGAATGAGATATTTGCGACATCATGAAATGAAGATGTTCAAAGCCAAGTTCTTGAATACTTTGATGAAATGGTGACCAAAAGAAAAAAATATTACATGTTTCACAACAGAGATTTCAAATCACTGTAGAAGCTACTGTGTGCTAGTGAAACATGTCATGATATACTTTTTCAAATGAAATTTGTGGAGATCAAATCGTTAGGTGTAGTTTTTGAAATTACTATGAATCTTCATCAAGTTACGACCGAATCAATCAGAAAATTATCGGTATTGGATCAAAAAAAGTTTTTAAATGATCATTGCTTTCCAAGCAAAATTTTGTTCACCGATAAAGCGACTTTCACTACAAATGGAAGAGTGCCTTAAGGAAATTGCATTTATCGAACTATAGAAAATATGCACTGGATTATTAACTGCAGACATCAATATTCACAAAAAAAAATCTGTGATGCGATATTTCAGACAATGAAATAACTCAATCTGTTTTTGTTACCACCTGAAATGGAACTCGCCTCCTTAATTTCTTCAACGATGAATTATGGTCTAATATCAAGGATTTGCCAATCAGTGTCTGACAAGATATATATACGCCAGATTCGATAATGATAGAAATAGCCTTTTTGGGTTATGACCTTCTCATTTTCCACATATTACGCTCCTAGATTTCAATTTTTTCAGGTATGACTTACTTAAAAGTCGCCAAAGACCTGAGTAATAAAAATAATCACAAATCGCCCATGTCAAATACAAATTATTCAAACTATGGAGATCTATAACTGAACCAATGATTATTTTTCTACTTCCAAAAATTAAAAATATGAGACTGTATCGACTGTATTGAGAAATTTGTTATCAAACAGATCAATTCTACTCGTTATTGAAGTTGTCTTTGAAATTGAAATGAAAAATGTTGGTTCATTTGGTAGTTGGGATATTCATCCCAATGGTAATTCATGCAATTATTCATAATAAATTGATGGATGTAGTCGTTACTACGTGGTAGGAGATTATAATGAAAAGAGAAATGAAAATTTCTATGTTTTTTACCAATTTTAGCATACCGGTTTTGGAAATTTCGGTCGCATTTCCAAAAACGGTATGCTAAACATGAAAGGTCCTTCAGACTAGGAAAAAACGATTCGACGTTTTCAAACCATTGCTTGGCTTGCAACCACAAGTTTCCGAATCTAAACGGTACAGAAATTCTGCACTATGCCAGGAAGGGTTGCAAACTCAATTATTTAGAATCCTTGGAAATTGACAAGCATAAACATTGCGGGTGCAACCTGTTGAATGATCAAATCGATTTAATTTACTCTCCGGGTTTTAAATTGGCACATCCGCATTGTGAACTGTAAATTCAGGTACTCAATCAAGACAAGTACCTCTATTTCTATTAGTACCTACAGGGAAGGTATATATTGGCGAATGTAATGAATTATTGTTAGTTTATTGTATAAGTTTGAAAATGTCCATATAGGACGAAACTGCAGTAACGTTAGTTACAAATAAAAGTGGTAAAAACATAGAAATTTTCATTTCTCTTTTCATTACAATTATTTATACTTACTACGTTATATTTCCTTTTACGATTACTTACTTCGAGAGATGATTCTCCAACTGTTGGTCTTTTGTTTACAGAAAAAAAAAAACTTCATTTGACCTCTTTCAAGTCAGTGGAAATGTATCTACTGAATGTCTAACAAGATCTCCGTTTTCCTAATGACTTTCGCATGTAATGTTTGAATCAAATTCATATAGGATATTATTTTTGATAATAATTACAAATTTCAACAAGTATCAATGTATTCAAAATTTAATAAAATTGATTCATTATCCACAAGAGATAGTTGAACGTATTACGAAAAGTACAGCTATCTGAAATATGGAAAATTCAGGAAAAGCAGATAATGTTTATCAATTCAAAATATATTTTACCATCCTGACTTCCTGCACAACACTATGTATATTTCGTGATTTCATGTAAATAATCAGTTCCAAAAATTATTGAAACCAACACTTGTTAAGTTCATTTTTGAACAATGCACTATGAAATCTCTTCAACCTTTTCATTCAATAATTATTCTTCAATAATTTCTATTCTGAGCATAACATGCTCAGGCACATTCATGAAAAGATTTGTCCATAAATACGAGTACATAAGTAGTGAGTAAATATTTTTCAAATGTTTTTATTTTGTAATATAGTATTATGTACAGAGCAGCATTTCAAGACAATTCAACATTTGATTATATATTGAATAAAATTAGCGAAATGCATGAAAAAAGTAGAAGCTATTCAGGAAACTGCTCTGTCTTTGATGCGATATCTGAAAAGAAAAAAATACACGTTAGAAGGCAAGGATAAAAAATATACAAACATTTTGAAAAGCCATTAGAGTAGCGGGTTTTTTTTTCCACAGTTTAACCAGTGAAAAAATTATGACCACCGAAAAACAGAACATCATTTAGAATTTTTCCGTTTTTTTCCTAAATGATAATCAATCAGAAAATTTTAATATTACCAGGGTTTTATCCCAACACCAAACCATTATTTCAACACCTCCACACGTGTTTTGATTACCAAGTGATCATCTTCAAGAGGAAGATTAAACTGAGTATACCTACGTACAATGTTATCCTAATTTATATCATGAAAATATTATTTCAACAAGTTATGTAGTGAACTATTAGGTATTGGTCCACCATCGTTATTCATAATATTATTATGTTCACTTATTTCCACACTCTCATAGGCATCTACATGCCAGTTATTGTTAACTTATCTAACTAATCTTAAAGAACTGAAGTCTATGGAAGGGTTTTGTTGCAAAATATGAAGGGCGACTGCTGATTTTTCTGGTCTTCCATATTTTAGGTGTGCCTTATATCTTTTTGTCTGTCCATAATATTTTGCATCGCAGTCCTTACATTTAATTTCGTAAATTCCGGACTTTTCCGATTTCTACATTTTGTCTTTTGGATTTCCTAAAAGGCTCTGTAATGTATGGCTTGCTTTAAAAACCACCTTTATACCTAGTTCCTTGAAAATATTTGCAAAGTTCTTCCTGTATTGGTGGTATGGAACTGAAATATATTTATCTTGGTTTTCGTCGTTTTTAAAAGTAGAGATTCCGTTCATTCTCAACCTGAAGTGTTTCTTCCTTTTTGTCAAATATGGAAAATAATCATGAAATAATTCAAATTCATTTAAGCGAATACATGAATTGAAAGATGTTCCAACCTCAACTTCCAATATTCTGAAACGAAAACACTCAGTATTCCGAATTCCATCTTTTAATATTCCAAGCTCACAGACATCAAAATTGGTACGATCACAGAATATAGAAATATAAAACAGTGGCGATATCAAAGTTGCAATATAAGCGTTTAAATCTTCATAAATATTGAGGAAGGTCAAGATCATGAGGAGACAGTATTGAGTAATTCATTGAGTATCTATTGATCTTCAGAAAAGGTTCCGGCAACGCAGCATTCTTCGATCCTGCTGGGTGGCAGTATAATGTAAGTTTTTGGTGATTCATTGTATTTCTGATTAACATTTTAGTGTAAGTTTATTTCTGAAGTATTTTCCCCGCATCGTTACAATGAATATTCAATTAATTTTTTAAATGAGTTCTTTATTTATTTTGGATGAATGATGAATGGGTGACACGTGGTGTCGGTACCTCTAATATCATCAACAATACCCCTCGAGGAACTGTTACCGACTGATATTTTCTGTATTGTCCGTTTTTTTGCAAACCTTTCATGTGTGAAAGGAAAAGTCAACAGACGATGCACTAGAAAATTCAGCCCGTCACGTTTGTGCTGTACACAGAGACGTGACCTGTCAAGAATATACCTGTACTTGCTTGTTTCCTTCCTAAATACATCTAATTCTACCCTTACATATTGGCTCCTCATTAGCCAATATGTAAGGGAAATGGAAATTGTCCTTTATTTTCTAACTAATTAAATAGGTGAATTTCATTGATGGAAATATGTTATTTCAAAAGGAAAGTCCTCAATATTCGATTTTTTGTTATCGCATACCGCAAGAACATCCACATACCTCAGTCATATTCCAGGACATTTGACAGGTAGGAGGTCAAGGGGTTACCCATAGTCGCTTTGGTGTTGGGATAAAACTCCAGTAATAATAATTACTACACCAAAGGTTCCAAACAGTATACCACAAGATAATTTCAACATCATAACAAACAATTAGTGCTCAAAATTATGTCGGCTGCTCATTAGAAAATGATAAGGAATGACAACAGTCAACTGCGCTTTTCAGAAGGAAACCATGTTACTATAAGTCATTAATACATTTATTTTGATCTCAAGAATATTATTAATATTTGAGGTGAAATTTGATTTCGTAGAGAACCCTTAAAAAGGGTACTTTGAAAATAGCTATATTAGAATACATTAGAACAATATAGTAGAACATATATTGAGAAAACAATAAATAAAAAAATCATGTGAATTTAGCAGAATGCCAATGGCACTGAGGTGATTCCGTTGGAATATATAGTTTTATTTCTGAGTATTTCTGGTTATATATCGGATGTATAAAGTTCTATTTCATGAAAATGTTTTGAAGCTGTCTCGGATAGTTTCAAATTATATGATACTATTATATAAAAATTGACATTTTTGTGATATTATGAAAAATTTGCGAAAAGGTGTGAGTTGAATAAGTAAATTCCAAAATCGTCAATTCGTCAGAAACTGGCAAAAGGCAATTTTCCAAATGATGTTTTTTTACCTCGAAACAGAAATCGTATAGTCTTACATGATCGCTACGTCGTTATTATATCCATCTAGTTGGCCGGATCTGACTATACTGACAAATGTCTGGAATATGGGAAAGTAATATTGGACATTACTTCTAATCAATTTCTTCAGTATATTACTATATGAAAAATTAAAATTCAACTGTACAAAAATTTTTCGACAGATTTCCCTTATAGTTTGTGTCCTGTTTAGTGTCCCAATAAAAATCCAACATCCATTGAAATAAGAAAATTTCTCTGATGATGGAAAAACTGCTTATCGAACAGAGATAAATAAGAAAATAAAATAGATATTTTGCTTGAAATGAGAGAAGGAAAAAACTTTTTTTTCTCAATACATTTGAGAAATCACCGAATGATCTTTCTGGTGTGGGATATTGAACGAACGAATTATTGGTTCTTTCTTTTTTGAGGAAAACATTAATGCACAGAGGTTTCAAGAATTTTTAAACACAGAGTTTTGGGATGCTATTCACGAGCTGCCAATCAACGAACGATCAAATTTAATTGTCCAGTCAGATGGGTGTTCAGTTCATTGTGCCAGATCTGTGAGGCAATGGCTTAACGAACATTTTCGAAACCGATGGATAGGCCGTGGTAGTCCGTTTATAGAGTGGCCACCCAGATCTCCAGACCTCACAGTTTTGGACTTTTTTCTCTGGGGACTTCTCACACAAAAGGTTTACAGAAACCGCTCAAGAGATAGAAATGAACTTTATGCAAGAATTCGACAGGTATGTGCAGATATTAGCCCTCAATAACTAAGGAACGTAATCAGAAACATTCGTAAGCGCTACGATACATGTATAGAAATACTTGGTGGATTAGTAGAGGCTACTAGAATATGAGTTAGAATCAATTGTTGCACTGAATCGAAACATTTCAATAATTAGTTATTAGTTACGTTTATTAAAATTTGGTTAGATGTTGTTAGTTGAATTGTGTGAATGTAATTCCGTTATTTCCATTAAAAATATTTACGCTATTTATTTTTTTTTCATCTGGCGGCACTTTATTGTTGAAATCATAAAAAAATGATATTTTGTGACTGTTGGCTGTGTGAGTTTTCGAACTTTTAAGTTGTCATAACTTTGTTAATAATGAATATTTTATCATGAAATTTTGGTCACACCTATTTAGAGGCACTCTGAATCCAGTGGCGTAGTGATTTTTTCATTAAAAAAATCGCTAATAAAAATTCCTGATTTTCGACTAAGAAAAAATATCGTAGTATGCCCTGAAACTTTAATAAACATTTCAAATTTTGTCCCAAGGTACACCTTTTAGTACTTGTAGTAAAAAGAAATTATTAAAATCGATTTACAACTTCAAATTTTAGGGGGGTGTTTCCATTAAAAATGGGTCACACTGTATGCCGAGTGAACCAAAATTCAATGACCTAATGAAATATGGAGACTGTATGTCGATGAATTTCGTCTTTCGTTTCATACCTGAAAACTTTGGATCAAAGTTCTAAAAATAATGTAAATGTGAACGTTTTGGTTAATTGAGTTTAAGTGTACGAGAAATATATTTTATTATGATATGAATAGCTCTTGTGGTGAACGTTGATTTCTTGTTTCTTTTATTAATTGGTTGAACGATTACCTCAATGAGCCTTTTTCCTGAGAATAGTATAGCGAACGTCTCACAAGAGGCAGCACTAGTAGTAGGGACAAACATAAACTGTTCACATGTAAAACAGTGTTATTTACGTAATATCAATTCATTATTTAACAATATGAATTTGATATAAAAAATAATTTTGTGCTAGTATAATGCCAACAAAGCATTGCTGTTTTGCGAATTGTACGTTAGATAATCGATATCCGGAAGAAAACGTGTTTTTTATACCATTTTTAAAATCTCATATTAATGAGGTTAGATGTAAGAAATGGATACATGCTTGGAGGAGAGTGAATTTAACAGTGCAAAAAATGAATAAATATTCATATGTATGCTCCAAACATGAAATAAATTGTAAATTTTTCATAGTTAACTACCATTGATTAGCATGAGATATAACCTCAATCGTTTATTAAATTATACTAATTGATTATATTCATTCAAATTTATTTCATTACCATCTATATTTCATTTGTATCTCTTTCCGAAATGAATCTGAAATTATTTCAAATTTCTTTTATTACAGTTTGAATCTACCGCTACTCATTTACTAGAGTATGTATACTAACCTGTCTATTAATTCACTTTTTTTTCAGTTACTTTTGAATTACGACATGCAAGCCAACGTATTAATGATACAATATTGTTATCCTTTACAGTTGCAAATTTTAGTTTTGCTCCAGGAACATCTTCTTCTGTTAGAAACATTCTTTTTTAATTGTACATTACCATATTTTTATATGAGGATTAGGCAGTGTATGTCCCTACCGAACTACTAGCGCTGCTAGTGAGTGATTTTTCGTACTTCAGGAAAAAGGCGCATTGCTGTTAAACTTTATGAAGACTGTCTAGCCTTCAACTTTTCCATCATGAAAGTGATATTTATACTCAAACTTCGAAATATCACCTTTCAAAATGGTAAATAAACTCATCTTTGTTGAACTTACCTTTATTTCTTGCTGGTTCCTCTGGAACTAGCATATGTGGGATTATTTGGGTTCATTTGGTTGGACCTGTTATCATAATCATGTTTTCCATAAGATGGAGTCTGGTGACTGGCGTTGTAAGAATCCCTGCGAAAAATTAATTTGGGAAATATTTTGGTATCAAACTCTGAAACAATAATTTCGAACATATTCGTTGCGATAAAAAAACAAACTGTAATACAGTGAATTCAATTGGGATGAGAGTTAATCATGTATTAGAAGTTTGAAGTGAATGAGTGAATGAGTGTTTCGTATAAAAAAATGTAATATCAATATATCTCAATTTTAATATAATTCGATAAACTGAAACCATAGTTTTTCGATAGAATGTCATGAACTACTTTTCGAAAAGTTCGCTTGGGTATACACCGAGAGCGGTTCAGAAACTTTGCGAAAAATAATGTCAAAAGTCTGATCTATTCACCTGTCTCCATTTTCAATGAAACTCTCTTAGATAATCTGTAATCTTCTGGAAACATCTTCTAGATGATTTTTTTCATTAGCGAATAATAACTGTAGATATTATTAATGAATTAATTTTTTCAATACTGATATGAATCATAACTCGAAAACACATTTTCCGTTTCTTCAAATGAATTATCACATTTGTCAAATTTTCCATTATTTCCAATACAATTTTTCAATAACTTTTTTTCCGAAGAAGATTCTAAATGAGTACGTTTCCATATCAGTATTTTGGAATGCGCTTGGTATAATATTCATGCCCTATCTTGAATAGAAAAAAACCATCAACAGTGACTATTACATAGCATTATTGGAGCGTTTGAAGAACGATATCACGAAAAAACGGCCACATTTGAAGGAAAATACAGTACTATTTCATCGTGTCAGAAATCAAAGAAAGCGATAGTAAAATTACATGACTTGGCCCCCAGCGACCTTTTTCTATTCTCAGACCTCAAGAGAATGCTCGCTGGAATCTGAGGCCTATTTGCTACTCAATAATCATTGATAATAATGATAATAGATATAATAATAATAACGCGAGACAACACGCGTCTCGTATCCAATGTGTGATGGATTACAGGGCGGCCAACAGGCCTTTCACGCCCGCAGTGCGGCGAATAGCCGCCAAACTACGACGTATTCATCACACTTTAAGTCAAGGCGTGCTGCTGACCACCGAACAGCACTTCCTTGATAGGATACGAATGCTAGTGGTTGCTGAGAAGTCACTAGTGAGGCGAGCGAGAGGTATCGCGGAAAACCTCAGGTTCCGCGAGAAACCTTCTCGCTTATTCTAAGAGCATCCACGTATTGTAGATAATCCGCCGACCGCTGATCAGGTGGGATCCTTCTGGTAGGATATCTATGAACACCCGCAGCCACTCAACTTAGACACTCCAGCCCTAGCGCAGTTCGAAGCTTTCAACAGAGAGCTTCGATAGCCTGATCTCAATGAACCCGATAACCCCGGTTGACGTTCGAAGAGCCCTTGTGGGTTCCAAGAGCTTTGCTGCTCCAGGCCCAGATGGGCTGAACACTTATTGGTGGGAAAAACTACCAAGCACCCACTGCCATCTGGCCAGAGTTTTCAACTCATAGCTGGACGGAGAGCAGCCGATTCCGGGTTGGTTTGTCGAGGGACGGACCGTTCTTATCCCCAAAAGCGGAGATTTGTCGATTCCTAAGAATTACAGACCGATAACATGCTTGAATTCGTGTTATGAGTTGTTTACAAGCATCTTATACACACGAATACTCACCGCAGTTGACCGAGTGTTCTAACGGATATATGAGCTGAGGGGGTCGAAGAGAGGAGTCGCTGTATGTAAAGAGAACCTGCTCATCGATAGATGTGTAACGCAGGACTCGATACAATATAAGCGTAACCTCTCTATGGCCTGGATCGATTACCGTAAGGCAGTTGATACAATTTCGCATGAGTTCATCTTGCATTTGCTCAAATGCCTTGCGGTACCCGACAAAATAGTGAGATGCATTGAACAACTGATGCCACTTTGGCGAACTCGCTTTACCATAACATCTGGTCAAGCAAGAATCCAAACAGGGTGGGTCACTTCCACAAGAGGTGTATTTCAGGGTGATTCCTTCAGTTCCTTTCTCTTCTGCTATTCACTATGGCCATTTTCCGTTGCGCTCAGAAACACTCGAGGGTATAACTGTGGCACCCCCGGAAACCGGAGGCACAAGGTCACCCATTTGTTTCATATGGATGATCTTAAACTTTATGCCTCTGGAGAGAAGGATCTCCATCAGTCATTGAGGGTGGTGGAAGAGTACACGCATGCTATCGGTATGAAATTCGGGATAGACAAATGTGCAATGGTCCATCTCAAAAGAGGACGATGCGAGGACTATGGAGAGGATATGCAGCTCGTAGATGGAAGCATCCTACACCATCTGGATGTAAAAAACTCTCTCCGGACACAAGGATAAGCCAATGTATGGCGTCTTCTTCAATAACATTGAAGACCTTGGCTCATCAAAACGCCTGACGTTCGCTTTTCTCAGGTCGAGTGGGCTGAAGTCGGAAACTGAGGGGTTTATCATGGCTTGCCAGGATGATGTCTTCAACACCTTAGTCTACCGCAGTCGCGTGATAGGTATGGAGGTTCCTGACACAAGGTGGAGGGCCTGCCGAGAGGCGCCCGAGAACCTAATGCACTTGATATCAGCATGTCCAGCATATGCGGTCTCGGCCTATATCCATCGACATAACGCGGCCCTAAGAGTGCTATATTACCATTTATGGCACTCTCACGGTATTGACGAGGGGATATTGAATCCGTTGTGGGGAGCGAGTAGTGCCGAATTTATTGGAAGTACTCGTTCCCCGCCCTCAGGCTCATACAAGCTAATAAGCCTGATGGAGTCCTTCTCGACCACCAGATCAAAACGATATTTGTCGCGGAGTTTTCAGCTCCTGGCGAGACAAATATCGTCATAAAAGAGAAGGAAAAACGAATTACATATCGAGATTTTCTCTTCGAACTCCGCAGACTCTATCCAGATCCTCCTGTCAAGATGGTTGTTCTGATTATTGGATTCCTTGGTGTAATGATGCCATCTATACTCTCGAATCTCAAAATCATACCGGCTTACCGCACTAAGGCAGAAATCTTAGCCACACAGATGCAGAAGGATGTTATTCTCGGCTCACTGCGCTTGCTCAGGGCACATGATTCTCAAACCCAATGATCACTTACTCCACGGTGTGGGGATTGGTCATTGGTTGATAATGCTGACGAGCCCTCCCGAATGTATCGGGACTTCGGGGGATAAGGCCTGACCAGCGCACACTACGCGAAAAATAATAGTATTAATAATAATACTAATATTCATCATTCACAGTAGTCAGAGCAAAAATACAAATATTTTCACATATAAACATGATTTATGTAATTTTCATAATTCAAAATCAGGAAGAGAATGTGAATATATAATATAAGTGGATTAACATTGAAGAAAACTCTTCACAGAAGCTGTAAAACTTATTTGTGGAATATATAGATGAATATAGATTCAGTGGAATTCATAACATTTCAATTAAGACAAAGATATGAAAAATCTAATATTAAAAAGTGATTTGATTCGTAATGAAGCCTAATATTTTGATCGATTTCTTTCATTCTCATCTTATGTAATAAAAACTTGAAAAAATATGGAATCGCTGAAAAATCCAGGTGAATCTATTAAGTACAACTTCTTTGTAGACATACCCAATATTTTCGATTATAATTCAAATACAATATTATAATACACATTCAAGATGAGCGATAATAGGAGATGAAGAAGGAAAATATATAGAAGGATAACGAAAAAAAAAGTAAAAGTGGTTTATTGTGAATAATTGTTTTGCCGAAGAAGATACTATTGGAATATTTTGAATAGTTCTATATGACTGTTGTATGCACCACTCAACTGCATATCGCATACTGTATATACGATTCTATCAATTTAGAAAAATTTTCGAGACAAATGAACACCTCTCAAATAGTTGTTACCTAATGTTTTGAAAACATGACGTAAAGAATGACACTTAAACTGTCCAAGATAAGGAGGATCAGCGAGAGAAAATTGATAATGAAATTTGAAAATTTGAAAAATTTGGGAGGTATCCGAAAAGAATCAAAATATCATCCATTCAGAATTGTTTCTGAAGTTATCCAAAGAGAAGTTGGAAAACAAAAAACACGTTTCATTTTTACTTATCAAGATGTCCTTTATGGCGTTTACAGATTTCCAATTCAACTTTTCGTCTTCGAAAACCCACCACTTTTCTATATGAACAAGAAAAAGATTCATCCATTATAGTTACATAACATAATTGAAATTTCCTGAATTTCGAAACGTTACTTAAATATTTTCAATTCTTCAGAATTGGGATTTTTTAAGATTTCAGATTTTCTTTTACTGGCTCTATTCATCTTTGAATCACTGTGAATGTATTTTTCTGATAGACCGTTTATTACAGTATAAAAGTTAAATTTTTCAATAAAGAATATACATCATGAAGATTAGAAAATCAAAATCTCAGTTTTTTTTTCAGAAGTACAGCCTCAATAGGATATACTGAAATAATCAAAAAAATTGCTCTTCAAGTAAGTAAACAAAAAGTGATTTTGATTGTTTATTTCTCGACAAAAATTGGGGAAATTGAATTGACATTCCCAATTTTTTGAACTGAAAGCTATTCGAAATGGATAACTCCCCAAAAAAATTGAATGTCAAGTCATAATGAATAATGAAATTTGTCAATGATTCATTCTATATGTTTTCCCAATTTTTGCCAACATATATAAATAATTTAAAACTCACTGTTCCCCTTGAGAAGGAGTACCGGAATATCCTCGACTTCCCCAGTAGGAGGGGTTGTTGGAATTCAACTGGTTTGATCTGTTATTATCCATGGCGGAAGATTATATCACTTATAACACTTCGAAACTTTTGGTCAGATGAAAAAGTCGAATATACTTTCCAATAGGCTATCAGCACTTTTATATTTATGAAATATATCCCGGGGAAGCACCGGTAGAAATAGCGTTGTTTTTCAACCTTGAATAATGAATCATTTTCTATATTCGTCATTCTGGAACGGATATTTTACAACGCATATATTGCATTATAAGACTAATTACAGTAATGCCCAAATATTTCTTAGGTAAAAGTACAAGATTCTCCTGGAAACAAAATATTTTCAGAAATATGAATAGTGTATGGAGGAAAACAATCCACCGTAAAAAAAATTCAGAAAAAGATTTTCTAGTTTGAATAAACATATGTATGAAATTATTCGGTATCTGTAGAGTAGGGAACGTGAGTGTAGGCCAATAGCACTTAGGCCACATGTGACCCATTGTGAATCCTCCGAGGAGTTATCCAACTAGGTCATCGTCCATCCTGTCCTTTTCAAGAAGGTGGGCAGGTCACTAGGAGACATCTCCTTCATATCGGCAGGTGTGAGCCAAAATTCGCCGAACACACACTCTCTTATTGACGATAAGTCAAGACACTCGTATAAGACATGCCTTCCTGTTCACACATCCTGCATAGAGGTGTGTCCACTAGCCCTATAATATGGAGGTGTTTCCTTAGTTGACAGTGGCCAGTCAGAAATCCTACTGTTAAGCTTTCCAGGGTCGCCCAGGGTGATCCAGGAAAGACTGCATCATTTGATTCCATCACAACTCAGGATAATGTCATTATCTACCAAGGTTTTGGCTAAATCTTGGTGGCACTCTAGTACTAGCCCTGAGGTGACACGTTGTCTGTTCAAGGCTAGTAGGGCTTGTCTGCTATAAGTGCAGATTGTTATGTTTTTGCCAGAAATTCTCCTTCTGGTTATTTCTTTTGTGGCGATTGAAATACTACCCAGTTCTGTTTCAACCACGCTGGTATTTTTACCATTCCCCACTTAATCCTTATGATTAGTGATCTGAAGTGAACTCCATATCCTTAGTTTCCTTTGGTTTTTGAGCCATCTGTATGTATGCGTATTGCATTTGTAGCATCTGACTCTGTGTTCTGTTATATTTGTATTTTGTAGGGTTTATCAAACACAAACCTGGGTTCAATTGCTTCACTGGATGCATGCAGCAGAGGTTGCGGAGTAAGCACCTCTCATGATAGGCTCAGCCTCAATTGACTATTTTCTACTTAGAGGTTTACATCAGCCGTACGCAATCGTAACATGTCCATTAATGCAACCTCCTTAATGTACAGGTCCAGAGGTGTCAGACCAGTAATCAATATCATTACCGCGGTTGGTGTTGCTTTCATGGCTTCTGTGATGTTTGAACAAGTCAATTGCTGTATTTGATATAATTTTTCGAAGGCTGTTGCTTGTAGAACCTTCGATCCCCATGCAAGATTCCTTACGTTAACGTATTATTATTGCGGTGTAGATCCAGGTGACCACACGAAGTGAAAGACCCCATGTGCGTCCCACTGTCCTCCGACATTGCTCATAAGCCACATATGCTCTTTTTGCTCTACTCTGGAGGTGAGAGATCCATGTTAGCTTCCTGTCGAGGGTAGTACCAAGGTATTTCACCTTTTCAGAGATGTTTAGTTTGCCTTTGAAGATTTCAGCAGATTTTAAGCCCGATAAACTTGTTTTCCTGTTGAATAGGAACGTCTCAGTCTTCTTAGGATTGATCGACAGAGAGTGTTCCTAACACCATGTTTCTATTAATTTGAGCCCATCCTGCGCTCTATCGCACAGTGAGTTCACAAATTTGACAGTCTGCAAGATAACTATGTCAATTGATGAAGTAAATACAAATAAATACGCTATAAAATACCTTTGGAAAGTTTCCGATGAAATTTGAAGAATAATAAATGAGTATGAGTAAAGCTATGGCTATGTCTCTGAAGAGTTGTTTTGATGTTTGGTGACAAAAATTACATAAACGTCCCAGAATAGCTTCCCTCTTCTCAAATTTCATTAGCAGTGAGAATCTTGAATTGGAAAAGAAAGGTTTTTTGATTTCTTCTCCTTCTCCTTTATACAAAAAATGTGGGAATCTACCAGAAAAATTGGAAAGCAATCAATTTCAGAATAATGACTCAATATCAAAATGTGTAGATAATGCAAAGAAATAACTTTCAGACACAAACTGAAAAAAAGCCCTCCCGAAATATCTTTCTTCATATAAACATTGAATTGAGTGTTTAATCAACTATCATTCATCATTCGAATATGTTATTCAGATTTGGTGCTGAAGAGGCAAGTATTTCATACCGAAACATCAAATGTCCACCAGTGCGGATGACAGTGTTCCATGTAAATAAAATTTCACCTCTTTCATTTACTATATTGTGAAGCAATCCTAACTCGAATCTGAAGCGAATGTTTGGAATCCAAACTGAATAGAAAAAAGTGTTTTTGGTATAATTCAGTGTTCATCTAAAAGTATTTGTTTCGAAAGTATTTTCATTTCGTATAATTCAATGTTTATATAAAAGTATCTATTTTAGTTCGTGTCTGAAAGTAACTTCTTTGCATGATCTACACATCTATGTATAGAGTTAATATTTTGAAATTGATTGCTTTCTTCCTTTCTTTGAAAGATTCCTACATTCTATAAAGATGGAGAAGTAGACACAAAATGAGTAGGCATACTTGGAGACTGGGTGTAAATCAAAATATCTAAAAAAACAATTCGTTCAGACCAATCTCCACTCACCGACACTGTAGGTTGATGGACTGACACCTATAAGAAAACAACTACTGCCCTGTTTAATACCACGAAAGGCATTGGATTATATCCGACAGGTGTCAGTGCAGGATTGTTCACTGAAGTTATTACTGCATATGCTGTTGGCGATTTTCAATTATTGGAACACACTTACCGACCGATTTTAGGCCACTCGTCAGTGCAGGGTAGTGTCTATCATCAACATGAAGTCGTTGATTTTCCATAATTGAAAATTGAATTTCTTTCAGAGGATCATTCTTCGAACTAGGCAAAAGCGAACAACATGCAACTTGTTTGTCAACGCCCCATCTGCCCGTGAACGAGGTAGCCAACTGCATATCCATAAGTTGCCAATTTCTCGTATAAGGAAGAAATCTTCACAAAATGACTGGACATACTTGGAGACTGGTGTTGAGTAGAATTATCTAAAAGAACAATTCTTTCAGGTCAGTCTCAAATTAGCAACACTATATGTTTATGGACTGAGATTATACTCGAGGAATGATCCTCTGAAAGGAATTCGATTTTCAATTTTGGGAAATCATCGACTTTATGTTAATGATAGACACTATCTTGCACTGATGGGTGGCCAAACAGCACGAAACCGGTCTGCAAGTCAATCAATCTACAGTGTAGGTAATTTAAGACTGGCCTGAACGAATTACTCTTTCAGATAATTTTTTTTCACCTATTTCACCTATTCTATCTAGTGCAATTTGACTATATCTTGAAAATAAATCGTTCCTATTATATATTAAATTATATACAAAGTGAAAAACTGAGAGATACCTAGTCACTATTCATATTCTGTCGCTCTGTGGAAAATATTTTCGGGGAATCTTTTATACGTAGGGGGGTTCCCAGGTCAGATTTCAATGACTCCTATAGGTCACAGTGACACCGTCAGTAAATACTGATAATATTATGATTGGTACTTCAGTAATTTATGAACAAGGCTGATAACTGTTACCAAGACACAGAATCACACAATACGAATAATGTGTCTACTAGCAATTTTTCATCTCCATCAATACTCAGAACTCTGATCGAGAAAGGTTTAGAGTAAAACACACTTTTCCTGCCCATTGCCAAATATATTCTGTTAAATCCAACTCCCTGTTTTTCCATGACCCCTTCTCCCGGCTCGACACTCGCCGTGATATACGAGGGGCAGAAAACTAACTATATTACAGAAACGACTCGCAGTAATTTTCTGTCGAAATCAAATTGTAATTGTTTCTATCAGATTGAAGAAATTTTCAAATTGATTTGATGAGATTTCTATTGGTAATGATTCGAAAAAAAATCATAAAATACAGTTTTGAATTCATTTTGGTGATTTGTTTCACAACGTGCATTAGTTTCAATGGAATGATAGAAAACAAAATATTTCAGGACTAGTGAAACAACAAATCCTGAAGATTTGATCCATTAGAATTATTGCACATAGTGCAATAATCCTAATGGACATAATAGAAACTAAATATTTTAGGGTTATCAAAACAATACCCGAAAATTCCGAGGAGAGTGGTGTGATGACTGCTACCTAGGACTTTTCGAATAATTTATCAGCTTTCAGTACATTATCCACATGATTAACTTATTTTCAAAAAAAACGTTCAACATATGTTTGGTGCAATCTAACTCCTTAATACATGAACCTGCCAAAGCCTTTACTCGACTTAGGGCCACGTATGCTTGTCTTCTTCAACTGCGAGGTCTACAGTACTGGCTTGCATTTTGTGGACAGTGAATGCATATGACAAAATTGAGAGTAACATCATCCTTTCAGCCGTCCTATAATTGAACTTTTCTGGTAGCTGTATAGCCTTAGAGCGGATAAGATGTACGCCATCTCTTCCGAAGTTGATCTGAACTGACGCTACATCTGTTTTGTACATTTGAACTCGACGAAACTGAGGCCAAACAATTTTTGCAATGTAGCTGATAAACACCGTTCACCAATCTATTCGATACGTCGATATTTCAAAGTGTACTACTATACTTCTAGTCATGCCCTGTTATTTGTTACCCATCAGACTGAGGTGGTGAAATGATACGCCATTTTGTAGCTGCTGCTATCTTGGATTTATAGTGATAAAGAATTCATTGAATTTCATTGTCATTGAAATCAAACGTGTGTACCAAATATCAAATGAATCTGTCGACAGGAAGGGGGTCAAACTTCAATTACTAAATTTGATCCAAACGTATAAATAAACAAAAGAACAGGGCAAGCTGAATAAAAAGCGCCGTTCCGTTCACCAATTCTTTCGA